ATTTGGAGGACCATTATCCTGCAGGCTCCCAAGTGAACTACATCCAGGCAGGCTGAATACCAGTGTCAGGCGAGCAGCTTTCCAATAAACTGCAGTATTATCGCAATAGACTTTGTAATACAATTTATGCTGTCATTCATAAATAACAATGCCATATGTCAACCATATTGCTTACACAAGTAAATCCATCAACGTGTTACTATTTGATTTACCTCAACAGCTTTTTCAAATATTGAAGTGTAGATATTGGAAGGGGTGGGCAGTGGGGGTAACTACCCACAAAATTTCAGATTAAAGAAAAACGTACAACCTCTGCTCCTCCTTTATTCCCCATGGAAAAACATCGTAAAGGATAAAGAATGAGGAAGAGGAGAAGCAGGTCTTGGAGCCAATATAAATAAATATTGGACGGTTACATGAACTGTGAACACATAAAGGAGTTTTGTGGCTCCTGTTTCAATCTTCTAAGCAATTTTAAAATACAACATTTAGGCATTTTCTAAGAAAGTACCAGTCCTAATGGTCAGATATGGGTCAAAGGCCATTTTCCAATAACCCCCATCTCTGAGGGTAAAAATGATTGATAACCAGATGAGAATATTTGCTGACAGGTCAATTTTACTCAACTTATTTTTTAGTAGTGGGGAAGTAAATAAAGAGAGCCATAATTCTTCAAAGGCTTATAAGCACCAAGGTCAGGTGCACATGGCATAGGTCCAATTATTGACTATCGCAAACCACCCATCTAACGTCCGACTAGCACCACTCGGCCCCAATTTTCCGCTTTTTTTTTTTAATCCACATTAAGTTCATATCCTTGAGACAGGGATCATACACTTTAGCAAGGGGCGCATTCTTGATTACTCTTAGCCCCCAGTATCCGTGGAGCCTGAGGATCCAGCGCGAGCTCACCGGGGCGGGAAGAACAGGCAATCCTCGGATAGGCGCTCGGAAACGCGCTGAGAAACGCGCGGCTCTTCGGAGCAGACAAGACCCCGGGGCCGGGGCGCAGCTCCCACGGGGTTGGATCGCAGGTGGCTGGGGCGGGTGGGTGGGGACACGTTCGCTGCCTGGTGCAAGCCAGGCGGGCGCCGGGTACCTCCCTGCCTACACTCCAGGCAAGCTGGATTTCGGAAAAGCTCTTGAACCCTATGTCCTCATTACTTCCCGCCACAACAAAGTTCAACTGAAATGCAGCTTGGCGGGCTTCTTTGCCCACCTTGCCCGGGATTGAGAGAAGTCTGAGGCACGGCCTCTCTCTTTCCAGTGTCTGCTAGTGATCCTCCTCCTCCCCGTTGAGCACCCACCGGCGCCCTTGGACTGGGGCTTCAAAAACCCTTTGATTCAGGTGCTCGGGGCACCCTGTCCGCCCTTGAACCTGCCACTGGCAGGGCCCAGATGGCACTAGGCGCTCCAAACGAGCCGGGCACCCAGCCCTCTGCAAGGAGGCCGCCCCCGCGAAAACCACGCGGGAGGACAGCAGGGAAGCAATCGCAAGGGCAATAAAAGGCAGCCTGGAGGACCCCCAGCTCCTTTCTCGTCCAGCCCACCGTCCCCGGCTCCCTCCCCACCCCCGCTGCAAGGACAATTAAACAAAGGCTCAAAAGCCAGGAAATGTCCAATTCACTTCCCTTAGAGTTTATTAATTGCCCATACCCATCGCCAGGAAACTTGGCTTGCGTTGAGGGACGAGTGGAGGGCACCTGGGAGCCGCAGCCCGCCCCCCGCCCCCCGTCCCGGCTCAGCGCAGCGGGACGCCGTGAGCGCCAGCCTGGGCGGCCCGCATCTTGGGCCCTGTCGCCTGCAGGCAGCTGAGCGCGGCGTGGTCGCCGGGTTCCGACCAGCTGGGCGTTTACTGTCCCTCCCCAGCTTCCTCATGCCTCTGGGGCTGGGAGGAGGTTGGGATTCAGGGTGCAGCCGAGGAGTCTGGAAATCGATGCTTCTGCAAGAGCACCTGTTGACCCTAGAAAGGGCATTTCCGTGGATTAACACGTTGCTGCCCCCACGCTGAGCACCTCCAGTGCAAAAGCATAGATAAGGACATGAGTTTTGAGAACCCTCCCTAGGTCCAGCACCACCGTGAAAACACGGGACTCAATTCACAGAACTGGCATAATGGCTTCCATAACACGCCGTTTGTAAGAACTATTATTATTATCTTCAAAGCCCTAAAAATTGTTGGTGTTTATTTAGGAACTGCGACAGTTATTGGGTCCTTAGAAACCCAGGATGTTAAAGGGGGTTTGATTTGGCTTCCAAATGGCTTGGAAAAGAAACAGCGCACCTGGGGTCAGGCGGGTCATCACAATAACAAAAAGCGCGTCTACAAAATAAAAAGCTCTTTTATAAAGAAAGGCAATCCCGGAAATCCACTGCGAGCCTTCCTGATGACCATCTAGCTAGGCCTATTCTCAGGTTTAATTGGCAGGCGGTTTATTGGCGCCTTATTGGTGTTGATTGAAATTTTGCTCCCAGTTCTTTCTTTTAAGAATTAGCATCTCAAGTCGATTTACCTGAGTCAATTATCTTTTAGGGTCTGGGTTTGGTCATAAATTTGCAAATATTCATTAAACACACTTTGTAAATACCCCTCTTTCCTGTCACCACCCAAATCTCTATTATTTCCTAAGAATGTCTTTTCTTTTTTAAGGCTTCCATAAAAAGAATTGATCAGGGAGCTATGTTTGAATTAAGACATATTAAATCGATGACAGATACATATCACGCTGCGTTTAACAAGAGTTGTACAGGGAGGCGGGTTCCAGATTCCGCACGGCTCTCCTGCACCATTATTCACATTTTTACAGCCTTGCCTTCATGCCTTCACCCATTAAACCATTAAATTTCAGCAATTCAATAAAATAAAGCAGTTATAATTTTGAGGAAAAGCTATTTTGAAGGGGGTGGAGGTACCCATTTTATTGCACAATAAAAATGCTCAACAGACCGTATTAAAGGCTAGGTTGTGTTTATTTTTTCTTTATTTATTCGTTCTTTTTGGGGGAGGTTTCTACTTATAACCTGCAAGATTGAACACTCATTGCAATTACCGAAGTACTGACGCTCACTACCAAGAAATTAAAATAAAGGAAATAATGTTCTGTGAAGAAATGAAGATAGTGGCGACAATTGCAAATGTGATGCTTTCTCCATAAACCTTCCCTAGAGATGGCATAATCCGTGCTCCTCCACCTTCGTTTGTCTTGAGATGTTTTAAGTCTTTGAAACGAAAATTGTGTAAGGATTCGCTCTTTCCAAATACAGATGTCTATCTTGTATTATCAAAATTTTTTCGTTGTGTTTGCCCTTATTTCCCTGTATTTGAACTTCATTGAAGCTTAAAGAAGCCCATTTGGAATTTGATTGTAGTAGTGTCTTTGTCAGTCTTATAAGAGAACTGACATTCCCAAGGCTCACAGGAAGTTCCCTGATAAACGTTGCTCATACCAATGTAAATAGGGCTTCCGAATCAATTCTTTTGAAAATATTTCTTCTCACTTCCCAGAACCATCTCCCAGATGATAGCTTTATAAAGTCTAGTTTTACTTGGACTGCAAACGAATCAAGCTGTTTTAAAAAATGAAATTTTAATCTTACCACTTTTTAAGAAACAAGTAACTTTATGCAGGGCAGCAAAATGAAAATTAAAAACCCTGCTTGATTTTTCAGCATCTTGGAACATCACAAAATTAAAAGAGGCTTTCTCTTTTAAAAAATGAAGTGACACTTTTGGGCAGAAAGAACCCTAAGGTTTGGGGGATGCCACATTTCCCAGCCCCCACCCCAAAACGATGCAGAAACCTATTTCTTTTAAACTGCTTTTATGATTTTCCAATAAGACGTGTCTCCTGCCAGATCAATGATTAGAAAGCGATAATAAGGTGAAAGGTATTTTGTTAGTAAATAGATAGCGAAGATATTGCTTGACTTTAAAACCCATTATCTTTTGGACCCATTCTAATTTGCAGTCCTTTCAAAGAAACTGAGGCACACATATGGAGTGCGTTCTGGACCGGAAAAAATTCTACTTGAATGACATTGTTTATTTAGCTGCTTCACTCTGGAGAGATGCTGTTTGGCCTGGCCTGCCGCTGTTATCTCAGAAAGGGAAAAATTAGAATCGGGGCCGGGTGTTTCTCTTCCCGGTCTCCCCACCCCCGCATTTAATTGGAAATGGCAGATCTAGAACCGATGAGCAGTGGGTGAGATCACACTTCCAGCCAAAGCCTTTGAATCATGTGGAAAGGGACTCCATGAGCTAAAAAGTCGGGGTAAAGCGGTTCCTTTCGGGAAGTATTTGACCTCACCTGGTGTTTTGCGGAGCCAAATCAAACTGTTTTGCAACCAATTGGACTTTAATAACCTCCCTCATTCCTTCTCCTGTGAGCCCTACGCGAGCGTTGGGCAGTTTGGGTGTTCTTCCCAAAAGAAGTTTGTGGCATCACCTCTTGGAAGTAAGATGCCGGGCGTTCACTCTCCTCCCGCAGAGAGCAGCACGGGGGCCTTCCAAGCGGGTTGGTGCAAAGTGTTTGATGCCGGAAGAACCACGGCGTGCGGTGCAGCAGAGGTTTTTGAACATGGGGGCTGCCCCCACCTCTTGCTTCTGGGGGGAGTCCCGAACCCTTGCCCACTCGGCGCCCTTCGGCCGCGTGCCGGCGCACGCTCTCCGTGAGGCGCGTCCTGGGAACGCGGGGCGCTGCGCGCGCAGGCCCAGCGTAAACTTTGTCAGTGCAACTTGGACATCCCCCGGGAGGCGGGGACGAGGGGCTCCGCGGAGAGGCGGTGCGAAGGGAAAGCAAAGGCGGCCGCGAGTACAGGGGCGGGTCCCCGCTGGGCCGAGGGCTTGAAAGGGAGCCAATCGGGCAGCCGTGGCTGCTGCCAATCATGCGGCTTCCTCCAATCCCACCCGTGCCATTTCCAAACTATCGGTCCCACTGAGCAGCTCAAATGTGATGATCGCTCTGCCAATCGCTGGAGGACAGACAGAGTGGGAACAGGAATAAGCAGAGTTAGGAAGCCAGGACAAAGAAGTTAAAGAGAGCCTGATACATACATGTTTTTGAAGGCGAGCAGAGGGAAAAAAGTACCCCCAGTGAGGGTCTGCGGGTCTTATTGTGTAGTTCTGATGGAGCCCCCTTTGAGCAAGAGGAACCAGCCAGTGCCGAGATTAGCGGATTTGGCAGCTGCTCAGGCCAGGCCGCTTCAGAATATGACAGGTTTCCCGGCGCTGGCCAGCACGCCCGCCCACTCCCACCTCCGCGCTGCAACCGCGCACCTCCGCCCCGGGGATGTGGGCTCTGACCCCGGCGTGGCCAGCACTCCGCTCGTACCCGAGCACATGGCCCAGGCGAGCGCGCCTGGCCTCAGCCCTCCCTCCCAGGCCAAGGCCCCGGCGGCCGCCGCCCGCGCAGCAGCCTCGGTCGCGCACTCGGGCATCCGCACCTACCCCGGCAGCGGGGGCAACCGCAGCGCTAAATCCTCCGCGCCCCCGCCCTCGGCCCCTCCTCTTCCTCCCTCCCCTTCGCCCCCTCCCCCTCCTCCTCCTCCTCCCCCTCCTCCTCCTCCTGCCCTCTCGGGCTACACCACCACCAACAGTGGCGGCGGCGGCAGCAGCGGCAAAGGCCACAGCAGGGACTTCGTCCTCCGGAGGGACCTTTCCGCCACGGCCCCCGCGGCGGCCATGCACGGGGTCCCGCTCGGAGGGGAGCAGCGGTCCCGCTCCGGCTCCCCCCAGCACTCGGCCCCGCCTCCCCGCTCGGCCGGCATGTTCATCTCGGCCAGCGGCACCTACGCGGGCCCGGACGGCAGCGGCGGGGGCCCCGCGCTCTTCCCCGCGCTGCACGACTCGCCGGGAGCCCCGGGAGGCCACCCACGCCCGCTCAACGGCCAGATGCGCCTGGGGCTGGCGGCGGCGGCGGCAGCGGCCGCGGCTGAACTGTACGGCCGCGCCGAGCCTCCCTTCGCGCCGCGCTCCGGGGATGCGCACTACGGGGCGGTGGCGGCCGCTGCAGCAGCCGCCCTGCACGGCTACGGAGCCGTGAACTTAAACCTGAACCTGGCGGCGGCGGCTGCCGCCGCAGCGGCTGGGCCGGGGCCCCACCTGCAGCACCACGCGCCGCCCCCGGCGCCGCTGCCGCCACCGGCGCCCGCGCAACACCCGCACCAGCACCACCCCCACCTCCCAGGGGCGGCTGGGGCCTTCCTGCGCTACATGCGGCAGCCAATCAAGCAGGAGCTCATCTGCAAGTGGATCGACCCCGAGGAGCTGGCCGGGCCGCCGCCACCGCCCCCGGCCGGCGGCGCCAAGCCCTGCTCCAAAACTTTCGGCACCATGCACGAGCTGGTGAACCACGTCACGGTGGAGCACGTGGGCGGCCCCGAGCAGAGCAACCACGTCTGCTTCTGGGAGGACTGTCCGCGCGAGGGCAAGCCCTTCAAGGCCAAATACAAGCTCATCAACCACATCCGCGTGCACACCGGCGAGAAGCCCTTCCCCTGCCCCTTTCCGGGCTGCGGCAAGGTCTTCGCGCGCTCCGAGAACCTCAAGATCCACAAGCGCACTCATACAGGTGGGTGTCTGTCCCCGGCCACGCCGCCGCCGCCTTCCGCGCCGCCACCGCCGCTTCCGCTGCTGCTTCTCTTCCTCCCTCCTCCTCCCGGTCGCCTTAGTTTTTCCCTCCTTCTGCTGCTTCTCTTCGCATACGTATAACCCGGACATGTGACTTCTTTTTTTTCTCTCCCCCCTTTTTTTCTATGAATAAGTAATTCGATAGCACACACAGGCCCCGCGCTGGGTTCCCACACGGTGGAGTCTCCAGCGCGCCCTCAACCCCTCCGTCGGGACCGGCAACGCGCTCCAGCCGCCGCCGTCGCCGCCCCGGAACAGAAGCAGCAGCAGCCGGAGCAGGAAGGAGACAGGACGGTCGGCAGCCCCCATCCGCCCGGCCCCGGGAACCTGGGGGGGGGGCGATGGGGGAAGGGGGGCCTGGGACGCTCCGGTGGCTCGTCCCTTCCCAGCCGGTGGCAGAGCCTGGATGGTTGCTGCGCTCTGTGCAGCTGGCGTGCCAGGGGCGTGTGGGATTTACTGCGTTTGGGGGCCACCAGGGCCTTGTCGGTGGGGACCCAACAGGAGGGGAGGGGGTTCGTTCCTTCCGGGGCGGAGAGCAAAATGCCAAAGGAATGGCCCCTAGGCCCCAGAGACCTACCCCTACACACACACTCACACTCGTGCACCGTCACACACCCCATGTACACCTCACATGCACACGCCACAAACATTCCCTCAACCGCCCCCCTCCACTTTCTGGGACACCCGTGTGCCCTGACAAGCTCCGCTTCCTCATACACCCTCACTTACACTTCCTCACTGACACACTTACATACACGCGCCTCACACACATTTTATCACAACTTGTCGTAGAGGGTGCCCGAGAAATTCTCCCCTTTTCGGGAAGTTCTAGTTGGAAGGCAGTGCGAAGTGCAGCACCTGGCGCTCATTGGGACCTTCCCTGTGGAAGTTGGGGGAAGCGCCCAGCGCCATGGGGACCCCTCCCACCCCACCCCCAAGCCTGGCCTTCGGGGGTGCCACGGCCCCAGGCGAGGAGGGCGGCGGCGACTCGGGGCAGTGGGATGGCCCCTGCGGGTCGCGTGTCCCTCTGAACGGCCGAGCCCATTGGGCTGAAGCGCTGGCGAGCGCAGCGCAGTCGAGATTTATAGGGACAGACGATATTAGCCCTCAGAGGACACTTAAGTAACTGGAGTTTACATCCAGTAATTACCTTGGCTGATTTATCGGCGCTGCGGCGGCCAGGAGACCGCGGCCGCGCGTGGGTCCCAGCGCCTGGCCGTGGCCTGGGCCTCCGGGGGCCCTGCTGGGGGAGCCGAGTCGGGGTGGTTCAGGGCTGCCGTCTCCCGCTCTGCCCTTTGCTAGTCGGGATCAGTCCGCCTTAAAGACTTAGCCAAAAGGAAACTTCCCCCGAGCTGGCGTAAAGTCTCCCGGCCCGCTAGGCCTGCTGCTCGCCCTCCTGCCCAGCACTGCCCCACGGGCCTCGGGCCCTTCCCGCCTCCCGCGTAGACCGGAGCCAGGGCCGATGCCGCCCGGGGAGCGGGGCGGCGCTGGCCCGGAAACTGCCCTGGTGCCCCTCCGGCCTGGTCGCAGGCCGCGCCCCGCTCGGCGGTCCCCAAGGCGCGGGCCGCGTTGTTTTCTGGCCCCGCGTCGCGCGCCAGGTTGCACTCACTGCCCGGCTCCCCGAAGGTCCTCGGGCCTCGCGAGCCCTTGGGGCGGCGCGCCCGCGGCCGGACTCGGACCCGCGCGCGGCGGTTGGGCTGTGCCCGGACCGCTTAGCCCGTAAGTGCCGGGTCCAGGGGGCCCCTCCCTCCACGCCGCTGTCGATTCCGAGGCTACTGGGATCCCGGAGCTGAAGGATCGGGGGGACCGTACACGGCCGCCCGGAAGGCCCACTTCCTGACCCGAGCGCCCCCAGTTCCCTTTGTGGCCTTCCTCGGGCCGCCCGGGGTTCCGCCTGGAGAGGGAACTGGGCAGGCCTGAGTCCGCACGGCGAGCCTCCCTTTCTCTAAAGCTCTCCAGTAGCTAAGTGTGACCGACTGTCAGAAGGTTAAGCGTAAGCACTGGGGTCTCACCCTTTCCAGTTCTGTAGAATTTGTCGCTGCCCTCCTCAAACCCCCTGAAGAAAACAGGCAACTCTTTCCCCCATTCTTTCTTCTGCTTCTTTTTACACCCCTCCTTTATCCCTAACTTCTACCTTTCTTTGCACTCCGTGTCTCCCTTCCCTGGACCTAATTGCATCTCTTCATCGAATGCAGGGGCAGACCAGCAGCGTTCAAACGTTTATTCACAGACCGAGATGTGCAGCATGTACAGAAACATAAGAACTCTATAAACAACTGCATTGCACGTTTTCATAGAATGAATAAAATTACTTAAGCCTCCATATTGAAAAAGGTTCATTACTATTTTTTCTTATGAATGCTGTATTATTTCCAGCCTAAAATTAGAATGCAGAAATCGGGACAAATAACATGTTTTGATTAAAAGTGACTAACTTTGTTTTTGTTGCAGCTCATCTACAGAGGAGGTTGTGATTCATCATTGTGTTATGTTGTGTTTTCCCTTCTCTTTATAGATCAGTGTAGGATGTATATTTGAATAGTATCTAATTTCATTTTTAAACAATGATAATATGCCTCGGCAGGGTAAGTTATATTCCAGGTATTTGAATACTTACTCTCAGATGTGCTAATATACTCTGGCATTAAAACAGTTATCATTGGTGAAATTAAAAAAAAAACTACATGTCAAGTTCATAGATAACTAAGGTGAGAGGGAAAACTAATACTGTTACCTGCTGTCTTTTTTGCATTTTAATGTCAAGGTGTATGGTGGCTGAATTGCTGGTTGTCTTATTAAGCATTTCCACTCTAAACTAGGAAGCTTGTATAAAAGGCATTGTGTTCGTGAGTGGTTAGAGCAACTTAATGGGGCAATGGGCCAAAGGACTGGTAAACAGTCCATCTTTTTTTGAACTACTATGTAGAAAGCTGTCAGAGTAAGTGTACTTACGCATCAGGTAATGCTAGGTTCTGGCTGAGGTGTGTAGTCCTATTAATGTTTGTTAAGGTTCTGTTCTGCTAGTCCCTCAATAGCCTTGCAAGTTGGGAAGAAAGCTGCTCAGAGCGAAGAGGCTGACAGCCTGGTTAGTCTCTGTCCACCCTGGTTTATAAAAAGTCTAGTGGTGGGATTGTGTGTTTCACAGGTCCCTTTATTTCTGAAGAGAGAGGATTTTGTTTTGTTCCCTCCCCATCAGTGGAATCCTGGGGAACACTCCTAAAACAAAATGCCATTGTTTTAATTTTACAGCACCCCCAACCCCCAGTTTACTTTTAATTTAGTGTATGTTTGTTTTTCTTCTCTATTTCTTATATTCTTCCCCCAGGCTGTGGCTTTGGAAGTATCATTTTATCAGCATATATATATATATATATAATTTTTTATTAAGGTATGACTGATAAACACTCTTATGAAGGTTTCACATGAAAAACAATGTGGTTACTACATTCACCATATTATCAAGTCCCCACCCATACCCCAATGCAGTCACTGTCCATCAGTGCAGCAAGATGCCATGGATTCACTATGTTATCAGCATATATATCTTGACAGGGGTATCTGCTTGTGTTTTGGGGTGTACAGACCCTGAAGGGAGTAAGGATGCCAGTATTCAGGTCCTAATTCACTGTTACATCCTGGACTGTGCTCTGCTCTTTCTACCCAGGCCCCCCATGGCACTGCAGGGGCTGACATGTCGCCTCTCACAAGCCCAGGTTTGAGGAGAGTCACCAGGCCCATCTCTGAGGTGTCCTTTCCCTGCTGCATCCCAGGACATAGGAGTTCAGAATAGGAGTGGGACCAGGAGGTGCTCTTGGAGAGGATGGGAACGATGAGTCCTCATTTCTCAAGTGAGGGGTCTCCTCTGCAAAGCAACTCTTGACCTTCCCTATGTTCGGTTGCAGGGGAAAAGCCTTTCAAATGTGAATTTGATGGCTGTGACAGGAAGTTTGCCAACAGCAGTGATCGAAAGAAACATTCCCACGTCCACACAAGCGACAAGCCCTACTACTGCAAGATCCGAGGCTGTGACAAATCCTACACTCATCCCAGCTCTCTGAGGAAGCATATGAAGATTCATTGCAAGTCCCCACCACCTTCTCCAGGAGCCCTTGGTTATTCGTCAGTGGGGACTCCAGTGGCTGCCCCCTTGTCCCCTGCGCTGGACCCAGCCAGGAGTCGCTCTAGCACTCTATCCCCTCAGGTGACCAACCTCAATGAGTGGTATGTTTGCCAGGCCACTGGGGCCCCCAGCCACCTCCACACACCTTCCAGCAATGGAACCACTTCCGAGTCTGAAGATGAGGAGATGTATGGAAACTCTGAAGTTATGCGGACGATACATTAGAATTATTAGTATAATAAGTGGGAGTTCTTGGACCATATCCTAACCTGAGACAATGTTGAGCCTGAGACAAACCCATGACTCAGACTTGCCACCAGCTCTAATTAGCCCTATTTATTCAGTATGAAACCCTATGGTGTTTGTACATTTAATTAATTTAATTAAGATATTTGGGCTTTTTTTTCCTTAGAAAACAAAAAAAACCAACCAAGCTCACTTGTACATTGCAGGGGGACAGGGCTGGGAACAAATTATACCAAGGAAAATGAGTGAAGTAATTAGGTAAATCGGAATACACACTGCCAATGCAATGTATATTTCTTTAAAAGGGGAGAGAAAGAGCATTAAGTCAGAACTCAACACAGCATCAAGGCCCTCTGCATTTCCTGGAGTGCCTCCTGAATGCCTTTGACACCATAACTTGGGCTTCTTTGGAGCTTCTTCGCCTCCTCCTTGGGTCCTAATTCTACAAAGGCCTCTTGATTGTAACCACATACTTGCTGCATTGCCAACAGATCTTGGACTGTACCTGTGTCCAAAACTACTTATAAAAGCCTTTTAAGTTCTAATACTTGTAATTTTTAATTTCTGCTCTTTTATTACCGGTCTCACCATAACAGTATTTTTATATAGGATTATTTCTTCAGTATCCTGCTTGTACGATTTAAAAAAACAGATGCAGCAACCTTAATACATCTCCATATATTGTGCTACTGTGATTGTTCAAGCAAAAGTGGAGAGAAGAAAGATGCTGCAATGCACAACTGTGAAACTGTGATATTTGATAAAGTAGAAGAAATTCAAGTGCTTTCTTTTTCCTCTATTTTTTTTAAATCTGAAATCTCAGATAATGCCTCTTTACTGTGTCCAATCTGCTTGTGTAATAAAGAGATGTTTTAGATCATAAATTTTTTGGGATGCCAAAATTAACAGGCAAGTCTAAGGAGGTGTGATGTTGGCAATATGCCTATTTTTTTTGGAAGGCTGTTTTCTAAAATGGGCCAACCCCTCTTTTATACTGTTGTGTCAACCTTTTAAAAAGTCTTTATTTTTCAATGCTTGAAGCTGCATTTTCATGCATTTCTTCTACCTGAGCACACAGAACTCTGTCCCATTTTAAAATGACAGTGTGTGAAGGGTATGATTTACATTAAAAGAGGGGAAGGAGTTGCTATACACATTAAATTTTTTAAAAGGTTTATAGTTATCACCAAACACTGATGCATGTGTGACCTTTGCCAGGCCTGTCACGCTAGGATAAAAAAGGTCAAGGGCCTTGGCCAATAACTCTTAGTCTAATTTATTTTCAGTTGGTACAACACATCTTGTGTGCAAAACGTAGTCCATCATAAACATTATACAGACATACTAAAGAGCACTAATTTATCCTCAGAGACCCTGAAGACACCCCCTCCCCAGGGTTTGTAGAAATTTGTTTTGTGTGCTGTGAGTGGTTGATATAGTCTTGTCATTGTTAATAACTTGTATGTGAATGCTATTATTTGTACAGTTGGATTAATTTATTTTTCAGACATCCTTTGTTTTTCCTGGAAGAGTTCAAAGCACACCAAAGATTATATTATACATTTTGGTGAAAGATTGTCATGATCTACAGTTTATTTAAAAGAATAAGGAAAGAAATGGGAAAATATATATTTTTAGCTTACTTGAATGAACAGCATTATGTGAAAACCAGGACTCTTCCTGCATGTCTTTTTTGCATTGTGTTGATGAGATTATTATATATAGTTTATAGATATATTCCTAGTACAGTGCATGGTGCTGTCACTTTGAAAGCCTTTCAATGTCTCCAGATTGTTACAGTGAATATGACTCATGCAGACCCTCCTTTATAAAGAAAAATCATAAAACTTGAATATAAAATAATTCTACATTTTAAAAGTTTGATTTCATATTATTCACTTTAAAAGCTGTTTAAAATAGACAAAGTAAGGTGTGAACTTTGGGGGGGAATAATTTATGTATCGTAAACTTATTAGAACAAAATATTCCTGATTTATGAGTTGTTTTATTTATACAACTTTTTCAATGGTAGTTTGCACTATTTATTATGCTACAGGTTTATTTATTATGAAACAAAGGGATATGTATTTTACGTATTTTGCCATGCATAGGTTAACTCTGCCACAGATTTATTGGTTCCTGATACACCTAAAATAAAAGCTTAAAATGTGTACCTCCAATAGAAAGCAAGAATGATTATGAAGTGAAAAATTTAATAAAGGTATTCTTCCTATGTACTGCTTATGTTTTACATAATGGCACATTTCTGCCATTCTCTTAGACAACAGGTAGCAAACATTGGGGTCTGTGCCCTTGATCTTTATTTCTTAGTGTCTCCCCAAGCAATAAAATATTTTTACAGCTTAGTTTAATTTACGATCTCATCTAGAAAATATAATTACTAAGACTAAGCCCTGCAGGTTGCATGGAACACTAGCATATGTCTTAGGGGTTACTGTGTTCATTTGTTCAAATGAATACCCTCAGTGATCCTAATGAGTGAAAATCTGAAAGGAGAACTTTAACATTTCTTTGGTGCCCAACCTCTAAAGTAAAAGGGTAAAAGAATCAGGAAAAAGATAGAAGAAAGGACACTGAGAGGCTTCTAGACACAAAGGGTGAAAGCAGTCCAGAAGTGAGGTGGGTATTGAGTCCAACACATCCTGAAGGAATAGTGGGTATCAAAGACCTCTTAGCTCATTCAGGTAATGAGAGGATCAGAATCCAATTGTAGTTTATTTAGAAGTTAAGTGGATATAAGTAAGCTCAGCATCTTTGGGCAGGTGTGAAGGAGAAATTACTTCATGGCAACAAAATAACCAAGTGGCAAACTAATTGTACTTAGCTCTCCACATTAACATGGGGAACGTTTGCTTGTTTTTATGTTAACTGATATAAAACTGATAAAAGGTAAATAGTTCAAAACAGTTGGTAGTAATGTCAATAAGCAATTCTCTAAAAGGTTATAGTGGTTTTTAAAAGTCAGGTTTGTTAAAAGTAGTTAAGATGAAACAGGTTGCAGAGTTGTTTTAAGCAAGATGACAATAACCAGCACACGTAGGAGAGAAACACTCATAAACGAGGGCCCAAATCAATGGGGAACCTTATAGCTCTCTAATGAAGTTTCTCGTGAAAAGGAGGGTGACAAAGCCACCAAGACATGAATCATTCATGGGAAATATAAAAGATAAAAGATATCTGACAATGAGCAGAACCTTGTATAGAGTGTATAAAACAAGTTTCCCCTTCTTATTTTCTGCTTTAAAACGCACACTCTCCCACTCCCAGCGTGCTCTGTCCAGTCTATAGAGTTAAAATTGACCACTGCTCGTCCTGAGCCACTTCAAAGTAATTTAGTCCAGAACGGAAGGCTTGGCGCTTGGACAATCTTCATGGTGTGTTAAGATTTCTATGGCAATTGGCAAGCAAGACGTTCCCATCTGAATATGTCTCAAAGAAAACCACTTATTGACACTAAGTTGGCTATCATCAAAGACTTCATCTTTCCTAGGCAAAACGTGGCCCTTGTGGCCCCCGCATACACTGTTTAAATCATCTACCTTTGTTTTCCAGGCTAGAAGAATCTTCAAACACATGATTATTTGTAGTTTATGTATATTTTTGCCTCATTTGGGATGTTCTTTGGTATAGCTAACACTCCTAAAATCTAATGTACCAAGAAAGAGCTTAAGGGTGGGAATTACATTCTTTTAAGGAGTTGGAGACAGCCGCAGAAAGAGTGATCACACTGGGTACAGGAAAAGATGAGGCCTCAACTTGAAAGCAAGGCCCGGCTACCCGCAGGCATCATATCTGTCATGTACATCTTGCATTTTGTGGAAGCCCTTTGAGACCATAGTGGTTCCTTCTATCTGTACCATCTCTCTACCTATCATCTCTTTTTTCTATGGAATAGGACAAGAGAGGCTCACCATAAGTATTTTTTATACCGGTTTGGTTAGGAAATACACCTTAGGGGATGGGGTGATAGAGAAAATCTGGTTCCTCAAGTGATGATGACCTAGGTCAGAGGAAAGGAAAGCAGAATACAAGAGAAACAAAGCAATCCAGACACTCACTGCTTACTGCTTTCCGCCGGTCACCTCGCACTACCTGCTTGCCCATCCTCCCAGTCTACCAAAACAGGCACAGGGCCAAGGAAACCCTCCTTCCAGGGCTGCACGTGAAGAAGGAGACCCACGGTGCAACAGCCCTGGGGTTGCCCCACACTTCCCTAAGTGAACGAAACTCACAGACACGCACACCCGACGCCCACGCACACCCACGCACAGACACTCCGGAGTGCACATTCACACACAGGGCAAGTGCCTAATCAGGCAGAAGTTCAAAACACGTTCTTTGAAATTCAGACTAGGGCGTTTCTGGTACACCCGCACGGAGCGTCAGGATTGCTACGGCAATGGGCAGGGCCAGGGGAGTAGCTGGCAGAGGGGGCACAGCGATTTGAGACACTCTATTAGGATACAGTTGCGGCGACCTTTGCTTTCATGCCAAGTTAGTTCAGACCATTTTCATCTCATGGGAAATCCACCCATCTGTCTGTATCTCCCATCCACTTGTACACATATTGTATGTATGACATAATAATTCTATATATGTATTTCCATCCTCTTTGTGTTGAGACCCCCAGAGAACCTCCTAGCTGGAGGGAAAGGAGGGAGGAGGAGGAGAGGAGGAGAGAACGCCGAGTGGGGGTGGGGAGGGTGATGCTGGAAGGGGGGAGGGGCGTGGGGGCACAGCCCCAGTTCCTCTTCCTCCTCTCCCCACCTAAGTACTTTTATTTGCAGAGCGATTGTTCTTTGTTTATTTAATACAAGTACTGTGTGAATGGTGAAAAATAAACACGATGAAAAATAACCAAACAGATGATTCCTCCTAGTGAAAAAGCCCGGACTTAATAAAAGTGCGAAGCAGCCACCGCTGAATGAGAAACCCTTTGATGTGGAACTTATTATAGGAGGAATACTTTGGGGTTGCCTTAACGACGCCGCTGAATCGAAAGCGCTCGCCTTTGTCAGCGATTTGTTCTCCTTTGCTGGGGTGCCCGGAGAAATTACTTACATGGGCTGTCTTCACACGCAGCCTGCAAATCAGTAACTTCGCAGCTCAGACTTGCAGACGCCACTCGGCAGCGGACAAAAAGCAGTCAGGGGGACACGCACCCACCTCTCAGGCTGTGTCTCTGCGGCCGGGGGCGCGGGTGCACGGGTGCGGCAGAGGAGAAGTTGTATTACAACGCCCCGCACCCCCCGCAGACCCCGCCCTACGCGGAGGGGGCGGCCGCGGGGCAGCGGAGGTTCGGACCCGGCTGGGGCCGCCAGCGAGGGGCGCTCTTCCGCGCGGCCTGGGCGCCGCACCTTCCTAAGCAGCCCGGCCATATTTAATAAGGGTCGTTTGTCACCCAGGCGCTTTGAAGGGTCGCCTCCAGCCCTGTGCCCATTAGAAAGGCGGAGGTGACATTTAAACTCCGTTTTCAAGGATCGCGGGGGGATTTCCATGAAAAGGCGACTCGTTTGTCTTATGAGCCTGAAAACAACCCCCTTCTCGCTCCTTTTGACCACATGGCATAACTCAAAAACAATAGTTCAAAAGTGAGCTGGCATCGTGGCGTTCACTCGGAGACAGGCCCCCATCCAGCAGCAGAGAAAAGGGGCAGTCCGCAAGACAATGTGCTTTTTGTGTCCGCTTCTGTCACAAGGATTGTGTTGTTTGCTTTGGAGGCTGCGCCTGTTATACTTTCCTGAAAGTGCTTGTGTTAAACAAGAGTTATAAGTCATCCAAAACAACAAACATTTTGATTTTCTTTGCCTAAAGGGCTTTCCCTGGCTATGGGCACCGTGAAAAAATAATGTCCTTGCTGAGAAAGGAACACCAGTAGTAGCATTAGAAGCCGGCGCATTAAATATTGAATGACACGGGGGAAAAGAGCTTGTCGAGGGGCACTCAGCCTTAAAAGTCTTTCTTCAACTTTGTCTTCGGTGGCTGCCGGACTATTTAAGATGGTATTAATTAAGGCAGCCTCGATGCCTCCGAGCCGCCGGCCCCTCGGCCGCGCACGGTCAATGGGCTGGTGTCCCCGCGCTCTGCTCACGCGCTGGCTGAGCCGAGTGCAAATGTCACTTCTCATTTGGAGGCTGAAGAGAAGGGCCCATCCTACATCAAGGACAGCAGGGATGCAGTCATCAGCAGGCGTTAAAGGCTACGAGGGGCTGGGGGAGGGGAGGGGCGGGGAGGGGAGGGGAGGCGGGAACAAAATGGGGACATCTGCTCTGGGCTGGAGAGAAGAGCGAGCCGCGTGCACGCTTTGGGCACATTTTGGAGAGTGCTGTTTAGCAAACCAGGGCCACGCGGGACTCGCAGGGTTGGAACACCCACTCTCTTTCGTCTGCCCCTGCGTGGGGAAAATTAAAACCCCAGCCCTGGAAAAATACATTAGGCGGTCTGGAGGGGCCTTATTTTACAAAGGAACTAGATTCGACCAAGCAAGACAAAAGCTTGGTGCAAACAGGCGTCTTCACTGACTTCCTCCTTCCCCCTAAGTCCCCTTCACAAATCACAAAGACCAAAGGAGCTCAGCCAAGGACCTCAATCCAATTTTACAGATGGTGAAACTGAGACCTCAGCAAGACTCAGAGAAGATTTTTGTCACTATCCCCTTGAGTTGGAAGTTGAGACCCTCACTGAGACTCAAAGACCCAGACAGGAGTAGAGTCTGTTTAAGAGCGCCAACAACCAAGCCAAAATATCCAGTCTTCTCCTTCCAAGCGTTTGACTCAAAATCAAATGGAAGTTGGTTCCAGCAGCTGGAAATTCCTAACAAAAAAAAAAAAAGGAATGAAGCT